AATTTGATGGATTCATTATTATAAATATCAACTTCATATCTATGTATTGTGATGAATGGTACCTATCTTCATAATATTTTTAAGACACACGGAGAGATCTGCATAGGATTTAATTATGTTTAATATTCCATTAAATTTTATTTTTAATGTATTTAAGTTAATAAAAATATATTATTTAATTTAGAATTATGTTGATCATCCTGAATCTTTATTGATATGATCTATGGCTAATTATATAAACTTACCCTTTTACCAAAAGCGAATAATTGAAATTAATTTTAATTATAATAAATATACAGGGATAAGATGAAAAAATAATCAAAGGAGTTAATATTATTAATTTAGAAGTACAAGCTTTGACCTGAGAATGATGGTACCATTATTGGATTGCTTCACTTTCATGGAAATGATAATGATAAGTTTTATTATAATTAAGATGGAGATATAACGATTAGAATCAATATCAAATTTTCTGTACCTTGAATATCATCCTATGAGATCTTGATGGTTTTCGAATATGGCTGATAGAAGAAGAATCAATTTTCTTTGATAAAAATAACAAATAACATAAGAGGATACCTAATATAAAAAACAAGAAAATTTGTGCTTGTGAAAAAGAAGAAATGTACATAGGTAGATTTATAGGATTATAATCATGCGTTGCGTTAGAAAAGAAGAAAAAAGGAACAGTATGAGGAATAGAGAGAAACTTGTAAAGAAAGGAATAAAAAATATATGAGGGAAATTGAGAATGGTATTAGAAAAGGGTTGAAGAATAGTATATATTGGAAGAATAGATTGTCATCTAAGTTCTTTAAGAAGACTTAATTGAGAAAAAATAATTTCACCTTTAAAACAACTGAGTTTGATGGATAGGCTGGTTAACAGCTTAAGGATCCATAGATAACTGTCAGGGAATAAATCATATATTATTATAGAAGAATTCTTAATTCTATACATTAACAAACTTTATTTTATTGATATTTTTTATTTATTTATATTCAATGCCCCATGCGAAACTCAAGCTCAATTTTACAAACCCAATAATATATTTATTACTATTAAATCATTCTTTTACTAATAATTATTTCATTTAATCTCAAAGACTTAAATAGATACCTATTATTTTTTTTATTTCATCATTTCTATTTAGACTAGAGTATTAACTTAAATTTTTATTAAACTGATAGTGGCTGCGATCAAAATCTTCTCAATAAATACATTCAATATTAAACTTACATAAAGTTCTCTTCTATAAAGCTATTAAGATTTCTTAACATGAACATATTATTGAGATCAGATTTTAATTATGCCTCATTTAGATTTTTCTAGTTTATAATTAAATAAATTTTAATTAATGATGTCAATAACGAGCAATTTTATTGTATATTTTTACATAAAATTTAATTTAAATTATAAAATACAGCATGTTTTATTAATTGATGGCTTTGGGCTTTCTTAACGAAGAAAAATTAAGAGTACATATTTTATTTAAATTTATTAAGACATAAACTATGAATATGTTATTTTATTTGTGTAGTAATGTTACAAATCTTTGCAATAATAAATTGATAATAAAAAAGCTTTTAGCTCTATTATTAAATATAAACTGAACAGAAAAATTTAGAATACTTTAACATTCAGATTTTAAAAAGAAAAGGAGTTTTATATTTATTCATTTAATTTCTAATCATCAGAAAAGTCTGGTAATTGGAAATAAAGAATAAAAGAGAGAGAGAAATAAGGTAATTATTAATAAGGGAAAACTGATAAAATGATCAAATGTAGAACATGATAAGGAAAAAAAAGAAAAATTATTATTTTTGAGAGATAAAATATGAATTCTTCGTAATATATCAATTATTAGAAAAAGAATAATATCAACGGATAGTATATATCAAAGAAAAGAAAATGAATACGTAATAGGTATTCCCTAAGAACATTGTGGGTTATGATGACACAGGGAGGTGAAAAGAATAATGCATAGATATATATTTATCACTTCTGTAGAAATTGAGAGGGTTATTGATAGAGGCTGCCAATAGTAACACTGAAACATATATAAAGTGATAGGGCATAGTTTACCTTCTTCATAAATTCTTTAGGGTCAATACCAAATTAGAAGGAAAGAGATATCGTTCAACTAAGAAAAACTAGATCAACTTAAAATAGAAGAAATACGATAAAAGTTCAGTTGTAGTATTTAGCTAATACAAAGCTTTCATGACAAAAGGAAATGAAAATAGATAAACATAAATATTGATATTTGGAAAGGCTAAAAGGAGGGTTTCTATAGAAATTAATTTATGATACTCACAGATATGTAGAAGAAAAGAGAGAGAATGCACACTTAAATTTAATTAAAACAAACCATATGATGAATGATCTTTTGTTTCTTAATGTGATGCCAGGAATGGATAAGTTAATCTAACAATTAATAGTAGTAGTCTAAAATAAAATTTGTTTCATATCAAATTTAGATATTCTATATTTTTTCCTTAAAGGAGAAATACAGCAATTTTAAAAAAGAAACTATAAATTGCTACTTTGTATAATAGGCTGATCAACAAGTTTTTTTCTATTAAACGAATTATATTCAATTGTCTTTATTGGAATTTCGATAAAAAAGATTTAAGGGTCCACAAATAAATTTAATTTTAATCCTTGATTCTAATTTATTGTTGCTTTTTAACTATTTACTATATATAATTTAATAATTGCTCAAATCTATCTATTTGTTTTTGATTCTGAATCAAAAAATACTAAAACGATTAATTTTATTTTTCACATTTGTAAAAAACCATGTCCAATTTTGGTAAATGACTCAAAAAAATTTAAAACTCTTAAACTTTAATTTTAACCTTTTAGATCTTTAATGAAATTTAATATTCACTTTGAGACTCAAGGCTAAATGTCTTTAATTTGAAAACTATTTTCCAAATGAATTATGTTACTCATTCCTAGTTTTCCTTAATCATTATAATTTTTTCAATAAATAAAAAATTAAAATTTGTTTTAAAGTTCATCAATTAATGAAAGAGCTCTAATCTCTAATCACTTACAGAAAGTTATTTCAATTAGAAAACTTTTAATTGCTAATTTTTACTTTATATGTATATTATTTAACTAAGTAGAATTTATATTATAGTAATTGCAC